GGTAACGGCAGTAACAGAGAAACAGCTTTATTATTGATTCTTCTGCATAAATTGAGAAGAAAACTGATGTCATCTGTATTTATCAGTAAGGAAGTAGGCTGCGCCACGGTGAAGCCAACTAATGGCACCACATTGTGCCATGGAGAAGATCTGCCAGGGACTCCCTGGGTGCTGGTGCCTTCCCCAGCAGGCTCAGCTGTGCATGGGTCAGGCTCGCTACCTCCTCCCCATCGCAGCGAGGGTTAGGCCATGGCAGAAGACTGTACTCCTCTCCAGCAGTGTAAACAAAGACAAAACTCTGAGAAGTGATGCGGTTCTGTCTTACCCACCTGGAGTGCCAGAAAAGTGGCACCTGGCTTGTTCTCCATTACAGAAGTCCAGGGGACATGCTGATGACAGATATGCTGAATGCAAACTTATGATTTAAAGAATATCGTTACACTATAAATATTTGAAGAACCAGCAACACTTGAGCAGTCTGCATAAAGAAATTAAGGAGAAAACAAAAAGAGAGGGGACGCCGCCCCATCTCCTAGCAAGAAGCCTTATGAGTTTGCAAGTGCCGTGCAACATGCGGCAATTCAGAGCGCTGCAGCTCATCATGACACAGCAAGGCGCAAGTGGTCCTTAGGGAAGCGCACAGCTCTGAGAGCAAGCAAAGGCAGAGATTTCTGGAGAATTACAGACTGCAACTCACTGGCCCTGCTAACAAACCCATCCTATTGTGTAATTATAACAAGAAGGCTGTTTCAGGTATTTCACTGGCAAAATGTGGAACTTGCATAAGAGAGAGAGTTTTACATCTCTGCTCTACTAAATGAGTCAAAGCAGGGATAACTACCCCTCACACTAATGAAAAGGACAGTTTGGACTTTCATAGTGAGGGTTAGACTTTGCTTTTTGGCCTTTGAGGGCTAGACTGCTTCCTTTTAGGTAGACGTTATATAGAAGTAGCTTTTTTTGGTATAATGACGTGTTTAACAACAAGTCCCTCAGCAGAAAGCTGAAGTTATTTCCTTTGGATCTCTATAGTTCAATGCTGTTTACTAAAATGTTACTATTCAAAGTGGTAACGAGGGTTAGATAAGCCTCCATTAACTGTGCATACATCAAAGTAGGTGTAGAAACACCAGAAAAATCAAATTTCTGTTTGTGTCTGATCCATTAGTCACTTTTACTTATGCCTAAAGAACTGCAACCATGCTCCTCTGTTGAGGATGTACTCCTGATAAGCATCAGAGCCACATCTGATGGGCAGCAAAGCAATTTTCCCTCTCAAGATTAATGCAATGGAGGAAGGGATGCATGCAGGCGCTTGAGAAATAACACACAATGGAATACACAGGGACAGTGTATACAGCATTGAGGCGTAACAGTGGAAGTGGGACTATTCGGGCATCAACTGGAGAAGGTGATGGCTTTTTGGGAAGGATGACTGTGCCGAAAGATCTCAGCTCCTTCACCCAGGAGACCCAACGTAAATCTCAGCCTTAGCATTTCTGCTTTCTCTCTCTGAATGCTTACTTCTTCATTGTCATCATTGTGTTCTTTAGATTAATCATGATCAATCAAGGCTGAAGAATAGAAGAATAGGAAGAACGATGAGTGAGCGGAGCATGGTGTTAAACATCAGCAATGGTTCCCCCAAAAAACAGTGAACAAGGGACAGCGAGGTGTTGCTGTGCCTCCCATTGAAATGTTCTGGAGGTCAGTCAGAAGCACAGAAAGAAAAATACAAATGCAAAATACTTGCATATGTGCTAAAACAAACATAAAGGAAATTTATATTCCAGTGTTCTGGCTGCAGTACTCCATATGTGTAAATAAATTTCATATTCAGCCCCCCTTGCCCATGTTGTCTTAAAGTATGTATGTGCATGTGTGTCTCTATTATCAGCAGAGTTGTGCGTGTACGTGTTTGGGAAAAAGCAGATCACTCGGTGACCACTTTCGATTTTTCTCCTTCTGTACATCAGCGTTATGGACCACGATACAGGCATGCTTTCCAACCCTCCAGCACTTGCAGCCAGAAATACTGCTCCAGCTAACACGTACCGCTCTCTCCCTAGTACTACTTTGCCTGGAACAAAGCGCAAATCTGCAAAATGCAACTTCACCAGGAAAGACAGCGCGGTCAAGGCGGTTGGTTGACTGTTTATATGTCACAAGCGGGGTCCTACCGGAGAGAAATCATCTTTAGTTGCTGGCCTCCAGCTTGTTCCAGCCCTATGAAGGTATACAATTTGTTCTTCTTGGAAAAATTCACTCATATAAACAGATCTCTCCCACAATACGAGGGAAATTTCAGTGAGAAAGGTACGTATCAACACTGATGTTCTGGTAGTTTCTATGTGTTTGTTGACAATATGCCCCAAATAAGGTGCTTTGTATTCGGTTAAATTGCATTTGGAGATAGCAAAGACACTGTAGTTAGCTGTTTGATAATTCTATTATAATTCCATATTTGTTGTTCTCAGTGCTGGCACTTTGAGACCACATATGCAAGCAGGTGAGGAAAGGATGGGTGAATTTCTCCCTTGGGCTGTGTCCTCTTCCACATCGCTAGAATCAGGTCGCTGAGATGGACAATACCAGTAGGTGCTATTAACTATCAAGTACTTATCGTTAAACACGAGGGTGATACAATTTTAGATGCAAGAAAATCTCCAGCTGCACATTGTCAGTAACAAGGACACACCGCCAGAGGGAAAAAAAAATAATCACTCTGTATTTGGTGTTCCTTACACTCTCTTTTAACATATTCACTATTTGTCCCTGCTGGAGGAAGCATATCAGGGTGGATGTATTTTTGTTTTGGCCAGTTCAGCCATTATTTTGTTTTATCTTCCCTCTTTTCAGACCAACAGGCTAAATTCTTAGGAGAAATAACAAAATCAGGCTTCCACAGTGGTGAGTTGATTCATCTCTCCAACTCCTTTGCTCCCAGCATAAACCACTGTTTCTGGAGGCACTTCAAGAGCCATTGCTACCCAGCTGGCTTTGGTTGAAAGAAGGGCACATTTGGAAAAGCTGACTTGAATTGTACTATCACCACAACGAGGAGTACAAGGTCCTGTGTCTGACACAGGACAACCCCATGCATCAGTCTGGCCGAGCAACAAACCTTTCTGAAAAGATCCTCACTGATTATGGTAGATCCACCACTGAATACAAGCCAGCAGTGCAAAGGTGGCAAACCACATCATGTCAGGGCCTTGAGCAACATGACCTATCTTCACAGCTGAATCTAACTTCAAACCTTGCACGGAGGTAGGACCAGATGACCTCCAGTGGTCCCTTCCAACCTGAATGACCATGACTCTAATTGGTAAAGGCAGACAATGGAACAGGAGGCATCATCCACAGGTTGAGCCTTGGAAGCTCAGATTGCAGATGAAGAAACACTTCTTCAACTCGTGACAGGACAAGAGGGCACGGTCTGAAACTGCGCCAGGGGAAGTCCAGGCCAGAAATGAGGAGGCATTTCTTCACAGAAAGGGTCGTTAGGCATTGGAATGGGCTGCCCAGGGAGGTGGTGGAGTCCCCATCCCGGGAGGTGTTTAAGAAAAGGCTGGACATGGCACTGAGTGCCGTGGTCTAGTTGATGTGGCGGTGTTAGGGCAAAGGTTGGACTTGATGATCCCAGAGGTCTCTTCCAACCAGACCGATTCTGTGATTCTGTGATTCTTCCCCCAATGGAGGCGCAGCCCTGGGACAGGTCACCAGTGATATGGGGGATCTCCATCCTGTTTTTTTTTTTAAAAAACCTCATCTAGTCAAGGCACGGCTGCCCCGACCTTGTGTTAGCACAGTCTGCTGTGAGTGGGAGCTGGAGCAGGGTCTCTTCAGAGGTCCTGGTCACCAGCACTGCTGTTATACTGCGACACTCCCTCATGATGGCTTATGAAATTACATGTTTATGGTGTAAGAGAGGGAAGGCATGTCCAACCTTATGGCTGTTTTCTAGCACGGTGACGGTGTGTAGATATAAGGGTGACAAGCAAGGTTTTCAATGTCCTGCCCAGCAGGTACTAACATCACCGATGTCTGCAGGCTGCAGGCAGGAAACAATGAATCCTGACAGAACAAGGCTAGAAACAGAAGTCTCCCTGCATCTGAACATGATTTAGCACAGTGAATTTTGTAAGACTTAGCAATTATGTATTAGGGAGCAGCTGATGATGAAAAATCCTTCCTTATTCTGTGACAGTGAGTCACAGTGCTTTGCAGGTCACCACAAAGGTGAGTAGATTTTTACCTCCTCTTCACAGATGTGGTTAAACCTGGTCATCGTTGCAACGTGAGCAAGTAACAGAATTGGGAAGCACTTTCAGCTCCTAACAAACTTGATTAAACAAATGCTAGCGGTTTTTCTCGAGCTATTCTATGCCAACACATGCTTGGTATATGAAATACATTTAATAAATACAACATATACTTACTTGACTGCCATCTTCCAGAAACAGATGAGAAGTGTCTGCCTTGTGGGATGTTCTCCAAGCTTTACCGAGCAGCCATACTATGTGCAGCCATTTCAAGGATTTTCCGTGATTATAAAAGCACACTGGCTAACTCTGAATTAGACTGAAGAGCCTCAATTATACAACTCATTACTACTTCCAAGCATGCTTAGTGGAAAGAACAGGAGTTGTAAAGTAATGGATGACGGGAGATAAATTGGCATGTGTATGAATCAACGATTAAACAAAGGAACTCCAGCTCTTTCTTGGAATAGCAACATTTTGATGTCTCAAATCCCCTGACATGGGTTTCATAAATGCAGTAACGTAAACCATGTGCTGGGTGGCGATTTTCTGAGGACCTTCCCGCTTTCATTGTGTATTTTATTACAGGCCAAATGTGACATTAAATGCTATCCGTGGTGGCTTGGAGTTAAATACTTGCTCTGTTCAGAATAGCAACACTCAATTAAACAGCATTTTTCATGATCTACACCCTCTATTGTCACTGTGTTTAAGGGAAATAATAGGAGCACTGACCTATATTGCGTTTCTTATTATCGATGGAGATGAAGCGTATGCAGGGATTATCGGTGATGTACTGTGCAGCCCAGGGGACATCAATCCATGTACCAGCTTCATAAAAAAGTCCCAGAGCATAGCGGGAGGAGTAGCTCGCAGATTCCAGTTGCTGCTTTTGACTTTCATTAATTACTGGGGGTGGGGAAAGGGGGTGGAAAAAAAAAGAAAGAGAAAAATCAGACAATACCTGTTCTCTCAGAACATTAAATATGTGAATGCTGTGGTTAAGCTGATTATTCCTTCCTGAAAATGACCAGACTGCTAAAACTAAGAATTTAATATTAAGCCTAGTGCTTTGCAATATTTTTTTTCTGGGACACCTCTTCATGAAGTTTTAATGGCGCATTATGTAGAGTACGTCCTTCACAGACAACCCTCCCCCATCTGTTGGTTTATCTCCTAGTTTTCCGCTGGTTGCCTCTGACTCAAAACTTCAATGACCAATGACTTTTTTCCAAATCTTTTCTCAAAGGGTGAATAAATGGGAATAAGAGGTTCGGATTGCCTCTAGCATATCAAGTAAACAATTGTATGACTCTGTAAAAACCCAGACGACTTCACATATCAACAAAATGAACACAGGGACTCTTCAATCTCTGGGGACAATAGGCCTGCAGCTTCTGTGTTGCAAATCAAATGGATGAAGAAAATTCTGCACTTCAGCACACAAAGGGTTCGTAGTGAAGCTCAGCTCCTTCAGCTGAAGGTATTTTAAAGCAGTTTAAAAAATTTCAGAGCAACTATGAATCCATTCCTCCCTTTGATTAACTCTTCTGTCATCTAATTACAGTAAGATCTGCTTTTTGCCTCAGTTTTATAATCTTCATAAAAAGCTGTACAAAGTAGCATTAGCCCCACCATGCATTCAAATACTATTTTATTTCACAGAATCAGTTTGGTTGGAAGAGCCCTCTGGGATCATCAAGTCCAACCTTTGCCCTAACACCGCCGTGTCAACTAGACCATGCCACTGAGTGCCACGTCAAGGCTTTTCTTAAACACCTCCCAGGATGGGGACTCCACCACCTCCCTGGGCAGCCCATCCCAACGTCTAATGACCCTTTCTGTGAAGAAATGCCTCCTCATTTCTAGCCTGAACTGCCCTTGGCGCAGTTTCAGATTATGCCCTCTTGTCCTGTCACCTGTTGCCTGGGAGAAGAGATGAACCCCATGTTGCTACCCCTCCTTTCAGGTCGTTGTAGAGAGCGATAAGGTCTCCCCTCAGCCTCCTCTTCTCCAGGCTAAACACCCCCAGCTCCCTCAGCCTCTCCCATCAGACTTACCCTCCAGACCCTTTCACACCAAAAAGAAATATAAAAGTTTGAATAATTGTGAAGTTAGGACCACGTCTCTCTTCCCACTACGGAATGGATGGCCAACGCTTCCGCGAGCTGGAGCAGG